GTAATTAGCATCTTTTCCAGCCTGCCCTTAGTTGATCTTCTGAATTGTCTTCTACTTCTCTTTCGAATGGTCACTTTCAGCTTTCTATTGTTTCCAGTTCCTACTGGAGGCTCCTTGTTCAGCCAGTACCGTTCATTCCCAATTCCATTCTTCTGCTCTCTTAACTATGTATCCCAGTCTTCTCCTCAGGGCAGTGATGGTCATCATACATCTCCTCACTCACTCAACTCTCGTCTTAACAGACATCTTTTCCATCTACCCTTTTCCTTGTGGCTTCTGCCTCCTCTTCATTGGACATTCTCTGCTGCAATGGATGGCAAAAAACAGAAGCTCATGCAGGCAGAGGCTTCTCACTATCAGTCCCAGTACTTGGCCCCATATCATCACATGGAACAGCAGCAAGAGGATGATGTGTAAATTATTGGAGTACTGAGATGTGTGTACTTGAGCAAAGAATCTTTGGAGGATATAGCCGAAAAAATTGCAGAAGCTTCCACTAAATATGTGCTAACTGCTTTTTTTCTCATATCTTATAACTTAGGAAGTTAAGAGAAATTTTAATGAAGCTAGCAATAGACCTTGATACTAAGGCTTGATGCTAACACGATCATGCTGCCAAATTTCAGACCACTGCAGTAGACTGTGGCAGGCCTGAGGTTATTTAACAAAAGATAAATAAGCAGCTGATTACGGGCAATGTTAGTTACTGCTACCAGTCCAGCCTGGAATGTTTTCAACTCTTTCTGGAGTCAAATCATTCTAAGTAGAGATCAGAATGTCACCCTGGCCCTTGAGTACTGCCATCCAGTTGCAGTAATGACTCTGGGAGAGATCTTGGTTGTGCTTAGTCTGGTTGAAGAAATCTGCAGTTAAAGTGTTAACATCAGAGTCTTTCTTGTAGCTGCTTGTCTTTCAGTAATTCCTGTGACACAGGTGTACTTTATGGACATGGACTTTATTTTGGCACGCTAAGAAGCAAGTAAACAGAAATGCCCATTTTTATGCCCCAGGTACCACAGGACGTTAACACTTTCCAGGCTCTAATGTAGTTGTGAGATAATAGCCCTGGGAGATAACAGAACTGTGACAGAACAGGGACTTAAGCCATGCCCTCCCAAATCTTAGACTAAACTCCTGTGCCAGCTCTACCTGTGCATACTAAAGCACTGATCCCTAGTTTTACCATGGTGTCACTTTGTGTCATGGAAATTGATAAAACTTGAAGGTGTATTTTGTTTTCTCAAAAACATCTGACAGTCAAAACTGAGGCTGCAAATGTAACAAATGAGGCTTTTCAAAATAAAACTCTTCTTACTTTGTCTGTTTGAACCCATGCAGTTTCAACTCATGCTCTGCCATATATAAACAAAGGTGTGTGTGTATACACTAGGTATGCACAAGGACTCCGCAAACACAGGCTTAACCAGTACAACCCTTACAGTTCATGAGTCTCAGAAGGCCCATCTCAGGGAGTCTCAGCTCGTTTTAGAACTCATCAGCTTCATGTGTTGTAAGATTTATTGGAATATAAAACAATGAACTCATTTGTACTTTCCTATCTGCAGTTTCTGTTGATCCCACTCCACTGCCTTTTTTTTTTTTTTTTGACTAAGACCAAACCTGATTTATTGTATTTTGATAACATATGAACAAATTATTTCCTTGAGCAGTCTGCCCCCACCCTGGGCTAAAAAATTGGATCACATTATGCGAAACTTCAGCCTGTGCAAGCAGACACACTGCTTTACCAAAAGCCATGTGTTAAATTGTGTTTATATTATGTACCTGGCAACAGAGCTGATGTCCATACTCATTATTCATGGAAAAAGGGCCTCATTAGTGGGAAGGCATGCACTGTTGCTGAGCTACATCATTATGGTTTCAGAGTTCAGTGCCTGTCAATAGACTGCAGATGACCTAAATACTGTTGATTTCTGAAAGGATTTTTTGGCTCTGATTTAACACATATCCATGTTATTTACAGCAGAAATAGTTATGGCTGCTAAAGAGACTGTTCTTGATGGAATAAGCTTCTGGTATTCATAGTAGATAAAGTTTCTCTGCTCCTCTTCCCTTGCTTTTTAAACAGGTTGCTTTCCAGTGAAGTAGGTCTGCTTGTTGTGATGCTTAGATCAAATGATTTATTAACTTACCTGGGCAGCCAGTTGTTTTGATTGTGATTATCTAGTAACCTGGGCATTGTGTGAAAACTCGGACCTTTGTGGCAATTGAAAGTCAGATTTAAAAAGAGTGGATGCCTATGTATTTAGTCACAGTGATGCAGTGGTTCCTCCCTAAACCTGTCGTTGCTTTCATTTTTTTTAAATGACAGTGTTTTCCAGTGAGACTATAAGCCTTCTGGTTTGCAGGAGGAACACCTTATACAGATTCCCCTTTCACTTACACCCTTGCAAAAGAGAAAGACTATGTTGCCATGTAGACAGAGTCCCAAATTCAGAGTTCGCTTAAAAAGATAATTTAGACTAAATAGTCTTACCATAGTAAGAAAGTGGTTTTTAAATACAAAAGGTCTCATTCTGCTCTAGGCTATGACACTTTTTTATTTGGTAACAGCTTACTTTGAAGAATCCTACTTTAAATTAATGTCAAGTCAAAATGCAAGCCTATGAAGAAACACTTTAGAAGCAAAATCTTCTTTGTCTTGGACTACTTTCAACTTAGTGAAATCCAAAAAGTTAACATAGAGAAATTAATTCCCTAAAATGTAGTCTATTCAGGGCTACTTTCCTTTCTCCAGTCCCCCTCTGTCTAATTCCTTCTTGTCCTTACAGACTTATGAAATGGGTAAATTCTATTTATGTTGAACTTGAAGGCATTCCTTTTGTAGAGGGTTGCAGATTGATGGGCCACTTGCATAGAGTCTTCAGTTACATTAGCTATGGTCTCCAGGGTTTTTGTGTATATGTGTATATTTGAGATCATAGCTCCACTTCATCAGTTTTATGACTTGCCATGATTATGTTTGATATTTTTGAGAAAGTGTTCTACCTGGTGGAGCTAACTGGGTAGATGTTCTAAGTCCAAGAAGGGGTTTTCTTCTGAGTTAAAGATGTAGCCAGTGGCAGTATGGAAGCAACCATTACCTCATGCACACTATTTTATGATCCTTTTGTTTCTTTGAAAGAGAGACCTTAAGAGAAAGTTCCTTTTAGTTAAGGTCATACCAAAGCCTACTCTACCTTCTCCAAGAGATGCAAATCAGTTAAGACCTTCAGTTCGTGTAACAGCAGTATCAAGAGAATAGTTTGTCTTTTTTCCCATTACATCTTTTTCAGCTTTTGCTTCTAAGAACTAGTTTCCTTCCTCAATGTCAAAATCACTTGTCACTTCAGCTAGGTCTTAGCATCAGTTCTGTGTCTGTTCATACCATCTGGTCTCTTTTTTTTGCCATGTGGGGTTTTTTCTTTCTTCTGCCTGTGCACAAAAACTCTAAACTAATTGTACTAATCTTGCTTTTTCTAATCTCCTATAAGAGAAATTATTCCTTCCTCTATATATGCATTTAGGATTGAACTTGGTCAGATCTAAGGGGCTGACACTTGCCTGGTCACTGAAGTACTCAGCAAGAGTTGCATATGAAGTGTTTACAACCAGCAGTGACTCTCAAAATCTTCCCATAACTGAACAGTTTAAGTTCTAGTTGTGGTCATAGCAAAATAAACACTTTTTGTTTGTGCTGAAATGTTTTTCCCATCCTATCAGGGGACCAAAATCCAGTCCTTAACATACACA